CCCGAGCGCCCAGGCTCTTCCTCCCAAAGCAAACGCAGGCCCGAGCCGTCCTGTGGAGGTACCGGGACACGGGTCCTGCCCCAGCACGGCCTCCTGCTCCCAGTCCTGCCCAGCACGGCCTCCTGCTCCCAGTCCTGCCCAGCACGGCCTCCTGCTCCCAGTCCTGCCCCAGCACGGCCTCCTGCTCCCAGTCCTGCGGTTCAGGAATCCTAAACACTCGCTGAGAATCAGAACTACAATGCAGAACAAAAGCGCCAAGACCAACGTGACAAATTTAGTGTTTCATCTCTGTTTAATGCACTGATAAAAGAGAAAACACTTTAATCAATAGCTAATATGGTTACTGCATTAACTAAGTATTTTATCCATAGGGCTGATCCTTAAAAGCTAGACATAAAAATAAAACAAAGCCTGATGCTATAAGAAAACAGCCTGACCACAGAACGTCAGTTTAAACAAGATCAGCAATCATATTTGCTATCTTCTGGATAAAAAATATTCTAGAAATACAAAGTCCTTCACTATTAAACAAATCAAGCTGCATCATCCCTCTGAGGTAGGAGAGGGTCTTTCTTACCACCATTTTATTACAGGTGAGGAAAAATTATGCACATACAGAAAACCAGACTTGCTGTATGTCACTGAGTTAGTGGCAAAGCTGGAAACAGGACTCATGCCCACTCATCTCCGAATAAAACCTCCGTCCTCCGAGCAGAACGGATGGTGTGAAATTTGGCTGTAAAGATTTAATGCCAAGGATTGTCAGAGGACATAATCTAATTGTGTAAGACAGGGATGCAGGGCCAGACATGTTCAGCTAAGGTATACTTCATCAGTACTTCCTAGAGTGAACTGTGTCCAAGTATTAAAAAACCTCAAAGAAAAAAAAATAAATCTAACCAAAACCACAGTGGGCACTGCCTGTTCCAAGCAGAACGCAGCTTTTCAGTAACACCACAGTACTGGTCCCTCCAACGCCCTCCCAGTCTCAAACAGTTATTTTATATTTTAACCAAGAAATGCAAGAGATAAGAAGTCAGCAGAGAGGAACATTATGACAGGATAAATGTCTCCTGTTCCAAAAACTAAATGTCAAGGTGAAGGTTAAACATTCGGTTTTGTCTTGGCATTCATCAAGCAGTTGGAGGCTGCTACCCTGCAGAACTCTCTCTTTTGACATTATTGCCTAATTAACATCGATACTGAAAAGCTGTTTAACATAAGACATTCACTCAAGACACAAAGTCTCCTTCTCTGCATAGACCAAGGCTGTTCTGCAATATGTTAGGACCCCATTACAGAAACAACAACCCTTTATTACAGTACTTGTGCACAGGTGTCACCTAATACGTCCCATTCCCTCTCTCTGTGTGCTAATATAATATTGGAATGCACAAAAGTTCACATAAATTTAGAAGTGAAGAGGACAGGAAGGTTTCAAAAGGAGCTCCGGCAGCTGATGGATGCTAGCTGATAAAGTCACAATTCGTACATCACAAATGAGACAAAAAGGCATTTCTTCCTCCTAAAGGCCACTACAAATTCATGGGCAGGCCAGCAGACACACCCAGGGGTGACGGTCTAGGTGGGAAGCCATCACAAGTCTCCTAACTTGCAGACAAATGCATGTATTTAGGAATCTATATTGTCTTAATAGGGATCATAACTTGTGATATTTAAAGCCAGCAGAGAAGATTCTTAGGAAGCACAGCTGTTTGCTCTGTCTAGAAGTGGACCCCTCACTACAAATCAGTGAATGCTGCAGTTCAAAACCGCATTATTCTTCTCAGCACTGCTTTTTCCCCATTATACCACCTTCTAAACATATGTTCTAGAATGCCTATAACATTCTTGTAAAAATAATTTATAGCCTTTAATTAAGCAAAGGATGATTAAGATGAGAATACAAAGCAATGCTACTTCAAAACTAAAGTATTCAGAATTATGAGAACCTGGCGACTGTACAACTCAACATGCCACGATTCTGGTGGAAAGGACATTCAATTAACATCCCATACTGGAGCAGTTCCAGACAAGCAGGACTCTTAGGAGAAAATACCGTGTTCTATCACTTTTATTAGAAAAATGGTCAAGTCATGAGCTGTGTAAGCGATGGCTGCACCCATATCTACATTTGGACTTACCGAGATTTCATGTAAATTATCGAATTATAGAAGCACTCAGGTAAGAAATAATTCTGAGCATTCCAGATTTGACCAGAAACCCAAGCAGAGCAGCCCTGCCTGGGGAGGGCATCTCTAGTACTACGCTCACATCAGTCCTCGGCTCCACCACGAATTTCCCAGGGCTCTCCCATTCCCACCTTCCCCCCAGTGACCTTCAGACCTGCCCGTCAAACCCCACCACAGGTACTGAACTCTCGGCCCCATCCTGAAAATCTTACCAGGACAAGACCATGGTTTTGAAATGTCGTTTGAGCAGCCAAACTGTAGCTTTTACGCTCTTAGGTTATTACTGTGAGTGAAGCTTTCAGAGCGAGTGTTCTGTCCACAGTGGCCAAGCACTGTCAAACACCATTCGCTTGTAGTCATCTCTTCATCTAAAACCCGATGTTGGGTAGAGAAGGGAGAATACGGATGAGAGAAGGCGAAATGAAAAGGCTATCTGTACATATTTTAAAAAACATTAATAACTTCACAACTGCTTGTGGTTCTTACTGATATTACACATTCCACAAATACCAGGACGTTATTTTGCACTTTAAACAAGCTTCTCGCAACTCAGATGGTTCTCAAACCAGTTTGCTTCCAAGAATTATTGACTCTGGATTCAAATCAGAAATTAATACTTCCTGTTGGCTATGGGAGACAGGGAAAAGAAAACAACTAAACTAAAACACAAGCTTTTCTCTGCTTTTTCACACACTGCTTCCCATACTTGTACTCCTCAGAGAAAAGAAAAGACACATTTTCTGCTTCTAACTTCTTTGAAACACAATTTTGTGAGGCTACCAGCATCACCCACTCAATCTGTTAACATTCACGATGATAGTAAGAATTAAAAATAATATAAATCATTTGCCAGGAAACAAAAGTGCCACACGTGAATGTTAAATAGCAGTCTTATTTGTTACAAGATGAAAAAGTACAAGAGAATAAACTGAAGCTATTAAGTACAGCACAAAGATCCTGCCACTACAGGCACCGCTGGTAGCTTCAAAGCACCCACCACAGTGTAATTTAAATAGCGGAGGGAAAAAAGTTAAAAAAAAAAAATTAAAAGAAAATTAAAAATCCACATCACACTCTAGCAGAATTAAAGCAAAAAAGCACAAAAATCTTTGTGGAAACTAATCTCAGCAGCTGTACTTTCACTGGCACAACAGAAAAACCATCTGGAAAACAACGTCTTACAGAGAGCAATATAGAAAGAAGAGAGGTTACTAGAGTTTTAAAGAGGCCTTGCACAAAAGGCAGGTGCACTCCTGTGGCAATGCTACTTCCTGAACATGAGAAGAATTAAGTGAATGCCTGCCACACGGAAAGGTCTGGCTACGCCATAAAATCCTGAAAATTCGCAGCCATTAGTGTTTTTTTACCAAGCCTCAACATTTCCATTTTCAAAAGCCTAATCAAGAGGAAATAATTTTTTGTTCCCTTCCTGCTTCTATTACCACCAAAACATCTACCATCTTTATTCTACTTTGCTGTATTAATTTGGGATAATGTTATTGTCCGGCTTTTGCAGTAATTCACTTTAAAATTTACAAGTAGATGTGGCACTGGCTGAAGCAGTTCAAGACTACCCGTTGTGGAATCTGAAGCTTCCCCGTGCCCGGGCAGCACGGGAACACGAGAGCAGGCGGGGAGCACGCTGCGCTGCCGTCACGTACCCGTACAGGCCAAGGGACGGCCAGTGAGTAACAACCGTTTCCGACAGTGGTAAAATTGAAATCGGCAACCTACAGTCAAAACGTACAAGCAAACTTTTAAAAATACAGTTACAGGGTGTCTCACACTAAGCTTGAAACTCTTTCCAGACACCCGATTTGCAAATCAGCCTCGAGTCCAACCTTGGGAAAGGCCCTTTTCCATTAGCACCCAGCCAAGCACTCGGAATCAAAGTGACTAGTTTAAAATTCAGTATAAGCTACCTCTCTCCTGTGTCCAAAGCTTCTTGCAGTCTCATGCTAGAACAAGACTTTTGTGAATATTCTCTTTCCACTCCAACTCCTACGCTGTAGAAGGGATTTGGAAAGCAAAACTTGAACTCCCTCTTCAGTACGGCAACATTAACTAGCCTTATGAAATGTTGATCCATCTGCGCTTCCCCAGCCACTGCAGTTTTTCCCCTGCTGCTTGAAATTTAACATCGCAAAGCACTTTTGGGCCACAGGAGGAAAACAATGCAGAACTAATTCCCCACATTGCTGTTGTTTACATAAACCAGCACTGCGCTATCACAAGCCTGAACAATGGCAACCCTGCCACAATCTATTCCTTAACTCTTCTCATCTGAAGAAGTTTCTTCCTTCACCATACCCATTTCTCCATCTCCCAGGACAAGTCACTACACATAAATTTTCAAAGTTTTCTCATTTTTCACAAGCAGAGGTTTTCTGATGACTCCTAGCTCTTGCAAGAGCTTGCCTTAGAATTATCGAGTTTTAAAGACAGTGATCGTGGAACACAAACCTTTGTATGTGCACTGGGGCAAAGAGGTGGCAGACATCACACGTGCAGTGTACATGACCACCAGAGAGGCAACCGTTTCTTCTGGAGGTTACCAGGTGTACTGTTTGCTAACACTTGTCACGTTCAAGCTCCCTCAACCCTCTCTTCAGTATCCTGATTTAAAAACTGCAAGTTTTGTTACACAAAACCCTAAAAGGGCAGGTATCTGGAAAAAGACTTTCAAATCACGTGATCTCATTTGGGAAAAGCAGTACTTCTCTCGTGAAGTAAGAAAACCAGCAAGTCTCTAGATGCACAAGAGCAGCCACAAGCCGTCAGATTTGGCGTTTGGAACTCCGCTCACCGTGTGGCAGGAAGAGGGGGCCAGTCTGCGTTTAAAGCACGTGGCGCAAAGTTAACGTCTCATTTCTCAGAGCCCCTGGCCTTTAGTGTTGCTTTGTCCGCACAAATGCCCGTTTGTTTCTCTCAGGAGCCAAGAAGCCAAATGAAGATCAATCCACAGAGTCCAACTGATCCTTCCCCACTTCCTGAACTCCCTCAAAGCATGTCGATACCAGGCTTGGCACCAAACCGTTTCTCCACGACTGAGATGCTAGTGGCCGAGCTGACGGTCATCATAGGTGCTGTATCTCTTCACGTGGATTCGGCGCACTCGATCACGAAGTTCAAAACACTCATCATCCTCGCTGTGAGATGCCTGGCTTCGGCTCCTGCTTGTTGCTTCCAGCAGAGAGTTATCAGGAACCCGCGGCGTTTCATACAGTAAGACATTTAGTGTTTCCTCATAAATTCGTGCCTCAGGGAATTCAACCTGCAAAGAAAAAAACAGCACAGGTCCTTTTCCCAATCTGCACAGGATAATGTGACTGGAACACATACCCGTAAGTAAAAAAATACTTTAGCCATAAAAATACATACACTATAGAGAGAGTCAAACAACTGTAAGTGAGGAAGATGAGCAAAGCAGCCTAACTCCTAGTAAAGGAAAAGAAAAACCCCTCACCTTTTAGATAGTTCTAGAATGGAATACAGCATTTCTGATTCCTCAGTGCTGACGCTGGCCTCTGGTCACCTTACCTGCACCCCTGCAAGTCAGGAGCTAACTCCTGAGGTTAGGGAAATGCATGCTAATCATTATCAGGTTTTCATGCATGTGACTCATCTCTTTAGGAAGTAGTGTGCTTGACAGCAAGTCTTTAGGTAACCTGTGCAACCTTTTTGGCATCTGTTTTCCAAGACTGGAGAAATTAACACTCGCAGGCACAACCATTTAGTCCAATTACATGCAACGATTACATCAGTGCAAGTGAAACACGGCACAAAGTACTGCAACAAAGCACACTTATGTAGGTGTAATTAGGAGCAGGATTATATCTTTAATTCATTTACTTAAGAAAAGAATTTCAGGGCATTTATATGCTTTAGGGACACAAAGTCCATCAACTTTAAGAGACTAGTGCTAAAATCTGAGTGCTTTCAGAATTCGCATTCTCAGTCTTTCCTTCTTCAAACCTGCTACCATATTTAGTCCTCTCTGAGTTCTAGCTAGCACGCAGCATCTTTTGCCAAGGCACCAGCTCCTGCTGCAGCCCCTAGGCAGCGAGCCATCCCAGTAACTCCCATGTCACTGCCCGTCATTCCCAGTCAATATTCAGGATAGTTGGTATCAAAGCTTTTCCAGTAGGTGACGCTGCTTGCCCCATGCCATTTGGCCTGAAGTTATACAAAATCTGTATCGTTCTGCAGGGTACCATCAACACGATTTCCTTTTAGCCATAAGAGTCAGGTGGGTAAGACTCCCTTACCTTGGTTTGCTTCTTCTCTGTAGCATACACTATAGAGGTACAACAGACTTCAGCGAGTTTTCGACCCTGTCCATAGAAAGACCAGCAGCAGATTTCATCCCCTATAACATCCTTAATGAAGAGTACTCTGCCGTTGAATCGGAGAGAGAGTTTGTCAAACAGTTCTATGTTCTTCAGTAAGTTGTCATCTGAGTTACTGAAACACAGCAACAAAGGAAGGAATATGGGTTTTGAGGTTTTCCAGCCAGCCATCCCTACAGAGTTTCTATGCCTATTCCACCAGTTTTAAGCATTGATCTAACTGCAGAACACAAATAAGTAGTGACTCATTGCCATATGCTGCCAAGAAAAAAGGAGGTAATAGCCAATTTCGGATATAAATAAGATGCTCTGATCCCCATGAGCAAACATATCAGCCTTTAGAGGCCAAGTTATATCATTAATAACGACAGCACAATTTCCCAAATAATTACATCAACTCTCCACAACTATCTCTTGACTGACACTCAGGACGACTAAATCCCAGGATAACTGCGCTTCTCTTTAGCTTGGTAACACCAAAAGCCCAGAGGCGATGACTGTTAGGCTGCCAGCTCAAAAGCAAGGTGCTCTGCACGTAATGCTAGTACGCCACATACATGTTTCTAGGGTGAATACATTATTTAGGAAACTAAGTTTTATTGACAGTCAATGCACGCAGGATCTTAATTACTAGAGGAAAAAAAAAACCAAAACCCCAAATATCGTATTATAGTTTTAAAATCAAGTAAAGCTATCAGAAGGCTATTCTTAAAATTTAAAGTATTTTACTTAAGTAAAAACATCGTGGTCAATCAATGTCCAACAACTTCATTAAGCAAAACCCCAAAAACCTAAAAGCCCTGCTCCTCCATTAGCTTGAATGCAGCTGTACTGAAACAAGTACTCTGTGCAACTTGGCTGGAAAATCATCTGCAGATATGTGGAAATCAGTGAACGCAGTATTGCCTAGACAACTAAGCCAGCCTTGCCAGTAAAATTCCTTCCTCTTTGGGCCAGGAGCTCAAGGTTCACACCTTGCTGCCAAGAATCCACCCAGAGACGTGACATCGTACTTCTGTATGCGGTACCTCAACTTTTGCGAGTGGCCTGGGAAGGCTACGAGATACTCGTGAATCTGCTACAAAGACCACCCAGCCAGGCTTTATATATGATACTTAGTCTGACGAGTATTTCTGTTCAGATTTGAATCAAAAGAGAAGGATGTACACCCAGAAAAAAATCTCCAGCTTGCAAGAATCATTTGATAAAGTGACCTGGGATTCCACTGGGGACAAGTCCCAGCCTCTATCAAGTGGCAGAGCTGGGAAAACAATGTGGAAGTCTTCACCCATTGATGTTATTAGCCCACACTGCCAATGTAACTGAGAAAGCTCCTTTTGTTCTGCTGATTAGGAAGAGAAGGAAAAAATCTCTGCTTGCTAGCAGCCAGTGTGGATGCCTCATTTAAAGCCCTTCAAGGCATGCCGATTCGTGTGCAAGGAATAATTAGATGCCTACAGCTAGTTGAGATAGCAGCACCTCCTGGTATCTAGGATTCGATTCTGCTGCTCTCATTACTAGTACGTTTTCATTTCCAGGCCCACGGTGACTAACGTGCTGCTCTGTGCTTGCTTTAACGGCACTGCTGTAAGCTAAAGGGTAACGCAGGGAGGAGCCCAACACGGCTGGCAGATGCAGAAATGCTGTAAGCTAAAGGGTAACGCAGGGAGGAGTCCAACACGACTGGCAGATGCAGAATGCAGTCTGCTGAAAAACAGGCTGCTCTTTAGCACTCCCACAGGTAGCGTTTCCTGACTACCTGAAATATCACGATTGTTAGAATCCATCTCTCTAAGAGACCGACAATCAGTTTGTCTAGAGAGAAAAGCTTCCAAGATTGCATCTCAGACTGAAAAGGCTAAAAATGAGGATTCTGAATAGCATAAAGGATTACTCACATCACTTCAATAACTGGTTTGGGAAAATCTAAAGCCATTCTGATAGCATCAGAACAAAGGGGATCGTGAAACCTCTGGCATAAAACTAAGTAAATAACATTACTTTATACAGAAGGAAAGCCAGTAAATTCTTGCCCTGGCCCTGACTGGGTTGCTCCTGAGAAGAACAGATCGTTTCCTTTGTAATCAAATAATTAACTTATTTAGAGGCAATGGAACACCAGCAATGTCTGCAGATCAGAGTAAAAGAGTGCTGGCAGAGGTACATGCAGACTCAAAGCCAAAGCAAAACTGAGGAGGTGGGCATCATGGCTGCAGTAGCTGTGCTCTAGCAAGGTAATGCTCTGGTTACCACTTAGTGTCACATTACCCAAGTTAGATCTAGTTTCAGCCAGTATAAAAAGCCTCATTGTTCTTATCGCTTGTCCTTTGCTTCTGTTCATTACTCTCGCACAACAGACCTGCACGCTAGACCACAGCAGTTTATTGTGTCCTCTCCCTGTTTAGATTCACATCAGTCAAAAATAACCGTTCTCAAATTCATAGAACATTGTTGTAAGCAAAAAAAGCCAACCCCAAGTTAGGTCCTACCACATCTTCCTCCACTCTCATAGTCAAAAGGAAACTTTCCCATTACAGTCAGGGAAAAAAAAGACATACCTGGTGTAGGAGTATTTATTGTTGCTTCTATTATAAAGCAGCTTAACGACAGGCTATTGGGAGAGAAAGAAAAAAAAGCAGAGAAGGTAAGTTCTGTGCTGGAGTACATTTAGAAAAAATTCAATTTCTCACTGGGTAGTTGTGGAAAAGCAGTTACTTTCACTGATGATTCTATCAGTCTCTCCTCTTCTTTTGGAGACGTGATAATAGGGATGCTACACACAGGTTCATACAAGTCTTTCTTGTCCTGTTGTAAAGGAAGAAGAGAGAGAGGAAATAAACTCAGGAGAGATAGATGCTAAAGCTAACATCTGCTGTTGCTGTCTTCTTCAACCCCTGCGGCCATGTGCCCAGATCCTGTGATGCAAAGGAGAAGCTCTGTGTTGCTATAGTAACCACACTGCGCTACCTTGATCCGCAACCCAGAAACACGGCGGAGAGATTTCTTATCCCCAGAAGGCAGCAGTAATTGAAATGGGGGGATGCAGGTGGGTATCCTTCTCAGCTACACCAAGGACTCCAAGCTCAAGCTGTATTTGGTTTAAGAGGGTTCATTATTCCAATCTCTGTTTGAAGAAGAGGATAGCAAGAGTTTGCGCTAGTTTTAATCAACTCAAACCACCGCCGTACATCAGAACATATAACCCCTGTGAACTGAGCCCTGGGCAAGGGACTTCGGCCCCGTGTGATACAAAAGCAACAACCAGGAGCGGGCAGCACAGCCTGTGACTCCACGTTCCTCATGCAGCAAATTATGAAAGCTCAGTGGCTAATAGGAAAGCCCTAGAACATTTTGTTTTTAGAAGAAAGGTTTCAAATTCCAAACCAGAAGGAAAATTGTCAGCGTGGCTTTGCATTTTTCTCAATGGATACAAGAAGTATGTTGAACCTAGCAGGTCAGGCATTTAGTAATTGCTAAGTTTTGTCCCGCAAGAAAACATTCATGTCACAATCTTAAGACTAATAATAAATTGTACATATTGCATCTGGACTAACCTTACTAAAAAGTTGACAGAACAAGCTGAAATCAATCAGCTGAATGCACAGGGACTTGTCAAGTGAGTTAAACAACTATGGGCTTACGTATTTGCAAAACTGATACAGAGAGAAGCTCTTAGCGTACTCAGTGTTTACCATAGAGGTCTTTTTCTCCATTAAGATTCAAACTTAGAAAAAACAGTTATCATGTTTTCGAAGATTCAAGCCCGTTCTGCCTATAAATATCTAATTACAAGTGGCGCAATTTGGAGGAAATTCAGACAAGGGCCATAAGGTCTTTTAAAACATATGCTGAAACTAATCATGTTTATTCAATCAGTTTCCTTTACATTTCTGGCTCTTATTTAATTTCACACAAGAGGAACTCATTTGCCATCTACTGCCTAAATAAAATTAAAAAAATAAACCAAATAGAAAAGAACCAGTGCTTCTATTTAAATGACAAATGGCGAATACAACTTCTGCTTTATTCATCCTCCTGGCATCGCTGTGAACTCACCTGACTGCTGTCTCATTTTCTCTCCAGCTCCTCACATTTAAGACTTGATGCCATCTCTAAGGCCACGAAATACTCGCTGAAGTTGTCTTCAGTAAGTTTTATAACCAAAACACCCACAAGAAACTTAAGGGGCTACTTCTACTTCTTACCTGCAAGGCTGCTTGGCATATGTCCACCAAGCCCTGAATGAGATAATATTTGGCTTCTGCCATCAATTCTTTGATCTCCTGTCTATGTTTTGGAAGTGCAATCGTGTCATCTCGGAGATAGTTTAAAATTGTTCCGAAGTGCTTCCCACAACGGTCTATAAGGATCCAGCCTGAAAAAGAACCATCACATCATCTCGGTGAGCTCAACATGAAGGGGCAAGAGAAAGCTCCTTGGAGACGTTAAATGTGCTTGATGTCTCCAGAAACCGCACAATGCTCTTCCCACCTCATTCCGTGGAAGTCCCTGTGACTTTGAGCAAACTGAAGTTGGTTGCAGAACACAAACTGACGGTGGAACCATTCCTTAGGTACCTCCCGCACGCTCTCACTACGTTCCAGCACCCCAAAAGAAAAGCCTCAAGCTAAAATTATTTGGCTTCCTATCGTGAGACACTAAAACTGCCGCAGGAACCTGACTGTGCTCTATCAACTGATTCGTCAGTGCGTTGCCTGAACAAAATTATTACCTGTGCTTCCTCTTTTCTGTGCTTGGTTCTGAACCTTTTCAACTACTATAGGAAGCCTAATTTACCTCTATTTAACTGACCGTCCAAGCCATTCAAACCTTTAAAAAAACAAAGCCAAAAAAAAATAAAATGCACTTATTGTTAGGTAGCTTGTTTCTTTTAGAGACTTGTCATGCACCCAACAAGCTGGGGGTGTGCTCTACTTGTGTGGGAGTAAATGTAATAGCTTTGGCTACAGCGCCATGCTGGGCAATGAGAAACTTATTGCTCAGAAAGCCAAGGAAAGACTAGAAGAGAGAATTCACCGGTGTTTGCACCAAGGAGGTTTGGGGTAAGTTCTGTGGCCTAATGAGAAGAATTTGGCAGTTTTCCAACTGCATCTTCTGTTGCTGTTCAGCGTTAAAGAGAGGAGAATTCTGAAGGTGCCATAAGGTAGAAGTGGCCCAGAAAACCCAGTCTGGGGAAAAAAGCTCCAAAACAGGAGCAAAGAATAGGACAGAGACAAATCAGGAGGGAGCGGAGAGAGGATGCAGCACAGGAAACAGTAGTACACAGACAGGTCTTGCATTTTTCACATATCCCTGAAGTCACATTCACTAGGAAACAGGATGTCTGACTCGCTGGCAAACAATGGCCACGTAGGATGCACACACGCAGTGCCAAAGCCTTCCCCACAGTGTGGAAGGCAAGCCAAGAAGTGCTATTTTGGGACCTAGGCGCAGAAAACCAAATAGAAAAGCAGGCTGAAGCACAGCTAGAGTCTCCAGCTGTAGCTGTCAGAAAACAAGCCTCGCTTTCTGTTCAGGCTGAGGGTCTTAAACCCAAGGACTAAATGGATTTAGTTGTACGCAACTCTCAATGAAATGCAACCTGCTCAAGGGGAACTTGGTCTAAATGAGATGCAAAATCCAGAGAGTTGTTTCGCCTTAAGGAAACACCCTGGCGTGCCTCAGGTTTAAGCTGAGGTAACCTGGGCAGCGGGGAGAGCCCTCACATAGGAGCATTCAGAAACACCAAGAGGTTAAACATTCGCCAACCTTTCTCAGCCTCTTCCCTGCAGCGCCACAACCCTCATTCCTGGGTGTCATTTTGCCCTGGACTATTAAAGAGAGGAAAACAAAAGCACTCACAGCTACTGCTGATACTGCTTTTCTCACTTGTTCCACTCTCTGTAATTTATTGTGGATTTCTGTAATGCCAATACACAGTGGGCAGCAGGAGGTGACACACTGCTTGGCTGACGGCTAAACACTGTCACAGCATCGTAAGCCCCAAGTGGAACGTGCCACTGAGAGGAAGAAAAAAAGAATTTCCAACACAGCAAGCATGGCTGTTCTGAGTTTTAAAGGTTTCCAGTGATGCCACATAAATGACAACCCACACGCTGTCTGTTCTGCCTTTGTAACAACACCAACAACCTGCACGCCGGCTGGGATTGCAGGAAAGAGAACCAGTCCTTCCGCTAGTTAATTTTAGTGACAAAAGAACACATTCTCATACAGCACAGAGCACTGTTAACGCAGTGGAAGTTGGTTGCCTGACGTTTCGAGTTATTTTTGGAATACGTATCCTTCCCTACACCCTTAGCTGAGCACAGTCTTAAGATATTTAAAAAACCACCACCGAAACCCTGTTGTTTTACAAAATCCTAACCAAAAAGAGACACTCCCTCACCTTCCTTGTCCGTGAGCACCTCCATTCTGCCGCTGAACATGGCCTTCAGCATCGTGTCGTGCCTGGTCAGCACCTGCACCGTGGTGTAATACAAAGAGCCCCCGACGTTGAGGCGCACGTACTTGTTGCCGAGGCTGCCCCCTTTGAAGCTGCAGGTTTTGGGCTTGGGCCCGGCCACGGGGCAGAGGGTGGTGGTTAGACACGTGTCCCCCGACATCTCCTTCTGTAGGTAGATGACGACCCTGCAGAGTGTGGGCTTGACAGATTCCGCCGTGATTGGTGAGGAGTCACGGGTCGCCAGAGGGGGACGGCGACGCAAGAGCAGTCATAACCACGGGGCCCTTCAAACACCAACGCATGAGGTTAAGGCAGGAGCCTGGAATTTTCATCTGCAATAACAATGCAAAGTCCACAACAAAGAGGAGATACTTTCAGTGAGTTCCTAAGGACGGGTTTACACACATTCTGACAAAACCAGACGCAGGTGTTTGTCAGGCAACTCATACAGCGGCTGCATTACTGCCAGCAACACTCACAAAACTTTTCTGGAATTCCCGTTGTTCCATCTTTAGCCGACATGACAAACACCACATGTACCATGCAATACTGCAGCCCAAGTTTAAACACTAGCTGGAATTCAATTTCCCCCAGAAATGCAGCATTTTTGTGGGTGTGCAGAGCTGAAAGACAATGGAAGAGCTTTCTGCCCTCCCTCTAGCACGTCTGTAGGTGTAGGGGCGGTTGCTATTTTGTTTTTTAAACTGGAGACGCTTTACAAATGTCTCTTTGAGTGCCTGGACACTGAAACCCTGGACCATAATGTTCTAGTTCCTGGCAACCCCCTTCATTCAAAACTCTTCCTCATCCATCCTGTTTGCCCAGTAGCCAATGTAGTTTTAAAGAACAAAAAAAAAATCAATTAAACCCACTCCTATCACAAAGTACGTCCAGTCTCTGGAATATTTGTCTTAGAAAACCAGCTAGACATCTGCGTTTCATTCTCTCCACAGCCTTGCTATCCTTATTTTCCCACTGAAAATAAGCCCAAAATGGAAACAAACAAATAAAAGAATGTAACTCTGTCAGATGTGCCAGACATTAATCTCTTTAACAAGAAAAGTACAAACACAAACTTCTTGCCTATCCTCCTTCCAATACTTATTGTTCTCAAGAACATTTTGCTGATGTTTGTTTGTTTAAAACTCTTTCATACTACAGACACCTCTCTGTTCTGTGCCTATGGCACATGAGTAACCTTTAATAAATAAATATAATAACCTGCTAACGACGTTGTTGTTCCTCCTCTTTCTTCTCACTCCACCTCAGCTTTCAACACAGAAAAACCTCACAACCCCCCGCCTGTACAGCAAATTATTCAGCAGCTACAGATGGTACCTTCAAATTGGCAGAGAACTGAATAACTCCAGAACTTAGAACAGCACTTAAAATGGAACGTTACTCTGCAGCTCCTCACTCAATTATTGCCATTTAACGCTCCAAACAACGTCTGTTAAATAACGAGCAACACAAATAGTGCGCAGAGCGTCGAGACACAAACCAATTGAAGAATTTTTAT